GAGGGAGGGAGGGAAGGAGGGAGGGAGGGAGGGAAGGAAGGAAGGGAAGGAAGGAGGGAGGAAAGGAAGGAGATGGGGAGAGGGAGAGATGGAAAAAAAGCAAGGAGAAGGGAAAACCAACCCGAGAGGCATACCTCCCCTTTGCTTCCCCAGCCGCCCTGCTGGGAGCCACACAATATGTGTGAAAGAGCCGCATGTGGCTCCCGAACCGCAGTTTGGCCGCCCCTGTTCTAGGTCATCCTGCATGCTGCAGGGGACTGAATGGTACTGAGGCCCCTTCCAACTGTTTAATTCTATGACATCTCTGAGCCAGCTTCCCCCCACCATGTCCGTGTCTGCAAGCCATCACCAAACAGGTAATTCAAGAGACCCTGGACAGGGGAGGACAGCGGCCGCTCCCCCCCCCAACTCGCTTCCCATTGTGCTGAACAGCCCTCCCAGTCCGCCTGAGCTGCAGAAGTGGACAGAGAAGGGCCGCTTAGGCTCAGGATCAGACACGGAGGCTCTTGAGAGAACTGGGTTCGAGTCCAGGAGCGCCTCAGAGACGAACAAGAGTGTCGGGGAATGAGTTTTTGAGAGTCAACGCTCCCTTCGTCAGATACGAGCAGGGATGGAAACCTCTGAGTTGTTACATCCCAGTCAGAAGGTGGGAGGGAAGAAGAAGAGGAGGAGAAGGAGGAGGAGGAGGAAGAGGGGATTGGCTTTCTACCCCACCCTTCACTCAGAGCGGCTTGCAATCTCCCTTCCCTTCCCCTCCTCACAACTGACCCCCCTGTGAGGTCGGTGGGGCTGAGAGAGCTCTCTCGAGAACTGCCTGTCAGAGAACAGCTCTGAGAGAACTGGTGACTGACCCAAGGTCACCCAGCTGGCTTCATGTCGAGGAGGAGTGGGGAATCAAACTAGGTTCTCCAGATTACAGCCCGCGCGCTCCTAACCACTACACCCAAATGGCTGCTGAGGGACACAGGGTGGTGGGGTACAAAATACAAGGACCTCCATTCTGACTGGTATCTGACACGGGGAACTCAGAAGCCCATACCTCCCCACCCCCCCAAATCTTGTTGGTCTCTTAAGGTGCCGCTGGACTCGAATCTACCTCTTCTCCTGCGGGGCCAACATGGCTCCCTTTGGAAACCCTCTCAGGAAACACACAGAAGATACGACTGACATTCCAGTGCGTGTTTGGCCTTACTTAAAATTCGCCTTATTTAAAAAAAACCTTTTGCCAGGATTAGTGGAGACGGCCCAAACCATGATGTACTCCAGAGGGGCCCTGTGCCGGGAAAGGGCCCCGGGCTCAGGAGGTTCAAGCCCCGCCCGGGCACGAGGCGCCCACCCAAGCAGGCCCCGCCGGCCTACCTGCTCCAGCTCCTGCTCAGCGTACTTCTGCCGGCTGAGCTCGTTCTCGGTCCCCTCCCGCAGCTCCCGCAGCCGGTGGGCCTCCTGCTTGGCGAGGCTGATCTCGTCCTGCAGCCGCTTCTCCAGGGAGACCTTCTCCACCTCCACCGTGCGGTGCTCCTCCTGGGCCTTCTGGAGCCTGGGAGGGAGAGGGAGAGGGCGAAGGCGCGCTGAATCATGGGCAAAGGGTCTTTAGGACCCACCTCCTCTTCTGCCGCCGCCTTATCACTATATACGTATTTGTGAAGCACCTCAGACATTCAGACGGAGAGGCAGGTGGGGTTTGCAGCAGCCTCCAGGTGGGTGTAGCGGCAAATAAATACACACTGCAAAAACCTTTTAGCAAACTAATGTGTTCTATTTATGGTCATCGTTTAGTAAAGTGCATAAAAAAGGTAAAGGTAATAGTTCCCTTGCTCGAAAGCCAGTCGAATCCGACTCTAGGGATGCGGTGCTCATCTCCGTTTCCAAGCCGAAGAGCCAGCCCTGTCCGAAGACGTTTCCGTGGTCATGTGGCCGGCATGACTAAACACCAAGGCGCATGGGACAGCTTTCTTAATAGTTGTATGTCATTCTCCGTCCATGAATGTTAGCTGCACAATGTGTCTTTTGTAGGACAGGTAAAAAGCATCCATACAACTATTAAGAAAGCTCTCCCCCTTTTTGGAAGACTTCATGCAAGGAGAAGCGGGTTCATAATTCTAGAAACTCCCGTTGGGGCTTGCCTTTTGAAACACTGATGCAAAATTGTCTGGTAGTTAGCAATCTGTATGTACTGAAAGTTATTGCTTATGGAATGCAATGAATATTTATACCTGACTAGGATGAAATAATGATACACTATGCACTTTACTAGGAGCTGCGGTGGCTCAAGTGGTTAAGACGCTGAACTGCAGGCTGTAGAAGGTCAGTAGTTCAGCAGTTAAAGACCCGGGTGCGGCATGACGGAGTGAGCTCCCATCTCTAGTTCCAGCTCCTGCCAACCTAGCAGTTCGAAAGCAAGAAATTGCAAGTAGATAAATAGATACCACTTCAATGGGAAGGGAACAGCGTTCCGTGCGCCTTGGTGTTTAGTCATGCCGGCCACATGACCACGGAAACGTCTTCGGACAGCGCTGGCTCTTCGGCTTGGAAACGGAGATGAGCACCACAACCCTAGAGTCGGACTCGACTGGCTTTCGAGCAAGGGAACCTTTACCTTTACCTTTATGCACTTTACTAAATGATGACCATAAATAGAACACATTAGTTTGTTAAAAGGTTTCTGCAGTGTGTATTTATTTGTTACTAGACTCTCCTAAGACTGCAGCTCGGGTTGCTTCAGCCTTCAGGTGGGGCCTGGAGATCTCCCGCTTTGACAACTGGCCTCCAGCCGACAGGGAACTGCTCCCCTGCAGGAAAGGGTTGCTTAGAAGGGTGGACTCTTTGGCACTGCGCCATGCCGAGCCCCCTCCCCTCCCCATAGCTCGCCCTCTCCTGGATCCACCCCCAAAGTCCCCAGGTATTTTCCAACCCAGACCTGGCAACCCAAGAGGCAGAAAAAACCGAGAAGGGATCACAGGTGTGGGAAATGCAACAAACAAAGAAACACTGTGATATCGATGGCAACACACGTTAAGCAAGAATCATATTATATTGTAAAACTTGGCAATATGACAGGTCCATCATGCTCAATGAGCATCCGGATACAGACTCATTTCGTCCCAGTCTTCCTCGGGAGGGATCCTACAGTAATGAAGGGGGTCAGCCTCTTGCTACAGTTCAGTGTTCTGTTTAAGAGCAACCCAGTGTTTCGTTTCTTCTTTATGTTTTTCAAATAATCCTGAAAAATAACCCATGGTATCTTAAATGAACTGAGAATGATGGACCTGTCATATTGCCAAGTTTTACAATATAATATGATTCTTACTTAACGTGTGTTGTCATCGATATCACAGTGAGTGTTTGTTTGTTTGTTGCAACCCTAGAAGGGTTAGACAAGCAGTCTAAAAGAATACGCGAAGAGTTTATTTCCTTCCTCCTCTCCGCGTTCTTGCCCGGAAGACGGCAACCTCCCCTTCTGCAAAGGGGAAACTGAGGCTGGCGGAGGCTACCCTGCCCGGGGCGCCTTCTGCTATTCGGCATCTGATTCTCCTGCCCAGAGACCAAGTCTGCCGATATCTCTGAAGCTGGACACCAGATTGATTTCCAGTGTTTGAGGGAATGGCGGCGAGCCAGAAACTCCGAAAGAGGAAGCAAAAACAAAAACAACCCCCCCCAACCCACGCCAGGGGAGCTGCCGGCACCGAGCCGTCGTGGCCCTTGACCAGAAAGGGCTGATGTCACCGTCCCTCTGGGGCTGGTAGTTCTAGGGTGGCACTCAATTAGCTTCTACCATAGAGTTTTGCCCCCAAACCAGAGTGCCCCCCCACCGAAATCCCCACATCACGTCCGGGTCACATCGGCATGTTGCGTTTATTTCTGGTGCTCTTCCCTGTTTGGGTGAAATCCCCTCCCCGTCCAGCTGGCTGGGGACGGAGAGGTGGGGCCTAAAAGCGGGGGACCCCCACCCAGTTTCTAGGTACAGCTCCTGGCTGCAGCATCCCTCTGGGAAAGATGTTGCAAGAAGGGACTACTCCCTGCAGCAGCCCTTTCCGCCGGGGGCCGGACTGCTCTCGGCCTCATGGCCACGAAGGGACGGAGGGGGCTGTGGGCGACCACAAGGGAGAAGCCCCGGTGCACGGCCCTGGCTCTCGAAAGGCTGCCCAGGACGTTGCAGGGGGATGTTAAAAATTTGTTTATTTATTTTTTAACATTTTTACCCCGCCCTCCCGGCGAGCGGGCTCGGGGCGGCTTACAAGAGGGCACAGAGCCCACGCATAAAAACAAGATAAAACGATAAGACCATTAAAGAACGACGAAAACAAGAGTAAAGTGCTCCATGCAAACAAGATGGTCTCCAGATGTTTTCACAATGGTATTAGTCCTTTCATTGGGGGCGATATTGTCCTGTAGATGGTGCTGGGGGAGGGGTCAACAGTGGGAGGGCTTCTGGTGTCCTGGCCCCACTGCTGGACCTCCTGATGGCCCCTGGTATTTCTGGCCACTGTGTGATACAGAGTGTTGGGCTGGATGGGCCACTGGCCTGATCCAACATTGGCATCTCTTATGTTCTTATGGTCCAAGGCCAGTCCAGCGGTATCAGTACCATGCAAGATTATGGCAGGTTTTCCGGGGACTGCCCCCCAAACATTGTCCCCAAACGCCCCCCCCGGAAGACGAGGCACTGATGGCCGAAACAAACACCTTGGGGGGGGGGAGAAGAGGGGGAGCCGGGAGCAGAGTGGGAGAACCTCGCCACTAAAAGCGGCTCATCCACTGGTGGAGCTCGGCAGGGACGCCGGCGTCCACTGGGGGGCGGCGTCGGCTCTTCGAAAGGCAGACAAAACCCGGGCATCGCCGAGCTCTCTTCGTCTCCGGTTTGTGAGAAATCTCGGTGAAGTTCCAAGACTCCGGGATCACCCCGTGGGTCTCTGAAGCCTGGCGCTCCTCCAGTCCTGCCACCCGCTCGTGGCTGGTGCAGATCGGGGGACCTTGTGCCCTTCGGCAGAACGGGGAGCCCCCATGCGGAAGAGTCACGAGCAGTGTTCCCTCTAAGCTGAGTTAGGTGTGAGCTAGCTCACAGGTTTTTTAGCCTCCGGCGCACACATTTTTGTCTCGGCTCAGGAAGGGGGTGGGGCTCCAGAGCAAACTAATTGAAGCAGTAGCCAAATCGCTGGCTCACAACTTTAATGCCAAGTAGCTCACAAAGTAGGACTCCACAGCTTAGAGGGGGCATTGGCTGGGGGACCAGACTGCCCACCGAGAAGGATGCTCTGGAATGCCCCCCCCCCTCCTGGAGCTCTTCCCGGGAAGTCTCATCGAGGCCGACGCAGCTGAGCGCGAGCTGCAAGCGGCAGAGAGATCCTAGGTGGCCCCGGGCTGAAGAAACGCCCCTCCTCCCCGCTGCTGGCAAGACGGTCTGCCGGCGTGACAACTGACGTTACACAGGAGCCGCCGCGAAAATGATTTGTCAGGACTGGCTGCCGTTTAGACTCCGGGCACGGGCAGGCTCGTTTCTCCCGCCAGGAATTAAGTAAACAGCATGTCGATGCCGGCAGCGCCGCCATGGAGATGCCACACCTCACCGGCTCGGCAGTGCCAACTGGCATCTCCACAGGGACATGGGTGTGTGTGTGCGGCTCATAGGTGCCCCGGTGCTCCACGTGCACAACGTGGTCCCCGGGGCTGGTATCAGGTTCATACAGATCAGTCCTTCCCTCGACCAAATCCTCTGGATCTATTCTGTTTCTTGGCATTGACCTCATTTATATGCGGCCTTTGTCCCCAGCGGGAACCCCGAGCGGCTTCCATCCTTCTCCTCTCCTCCACTGCATCCTCACAACAACCCTGAGAGGCAGACTAGGCTGAGAATGCGTGACCGGCCCCCACAGTCATAGAATCATAGAGCAGGGAGGGGCCCCCAGAGGCCATTCAGTCCGACCCCCTGCTCAGTGCGGGATCAGCCTAGACTAGCATCCCCTGACCAGGGTTTGTCCAGCCGCTGCTTCAAGACTGTAATTGTTGTGTTCAGTCGCACAGTCGAGTCCGACTCTTCGCGACCCCATGGACCAGATCACGCCAGGCCTTCCGGTCTTCCGCCGTCCTCTGAAGCTGGCTCAATTTCGTGTTCGTTGCATCGGTGACACTGTCTAACCATCTCATCCTTTGCCGTCCCCGTCTTCTTTGACCTTCCCAGCATCAGGGTCTTCTTCTCCAGTGAGTGCTCCCTTCTCATTTGGTGGCCAAAGTATTTGAGCTTCAGCTTCAGTCTCTGGCCTCCCAGGGAACAGTCTGGGTCGATTTCTTTTAGGATTGACTGATTGGATCTTCTTGCAGTCCAAGGGACTGTAAAGCAAACCCCCAAAAAGGAAACTGCGCAAAAATTACTGCAGTTTATATCACAAAAGTCTATATTTCCATGTAATGCCGAAAGTCCATTTGTTTTTTTCAGACATACAATCAAAGAAGTCTTCGCAAGGTAATGATGACAAAACTCTCCAGATTAACAATTCCCGTTTCGTAGAGCCTTCGTCAAAGATCGACAACACAAAGATGTCCTTCCTTATTTTTCAAAGAGCAATCCTTCCGTTCTCAAAATACACAGTTTCGAATCCGTGCCATGGAATAAATTCTAATACCTGTTTTCACAAAGCAGGCAAGCTAATCATAACAACCTTTCGGCATTACATGGAAATATAGACTTTTGTGATATAGTAAAGGTAAAGGTTCCCTTGCTCGGGTGCAGAAGAGCCGAAGATCCAGCTCTGTCCGAAGACGTTCCCGTGATCATGTGGCCAGCATGACTAAACACCAAGGCGCACGGAACGCCGTTCCCTTGCCACTGAAGTGGTACCTATTTATCTACTTGCAATGTCTTGCTTTTGAACTGCTAGGTTGGCAGGAGCTGGAACTAGAGATGGGAGCTCACTCCGTCATGCGGCACACTCGGGTCTCGAACTGCTGAACTTCTGACCTTCCACAGCCTGCAATTCAGCGTCTTAACCACTTGAGCCACCGCAGCAATTTTTGCACAGATTCCTTTTTGTGTTTTGCTTTACTGTACTGTGGACTGTGACCTTCTTGCTTTTCTCTATCACGGTTTCAAGACGGCCAGGGAGGAGGGGGAGCTCACCACCTCCCCGGGCAGCTGATTCCACTGTGGCACGACTCTGACTGTCAAACTAACTCAGCTTAGAGGGAACACTGATGGGGATCTGGACTTGCTGAGACCGAGAGGGGAAAAGATCTTGGGGTCACAGTGGGCAGCCCCAAGGAAGTGTCAGCCCTGCGTTCTGCAGCAGTGAAAAAGGCAAACTCTGTGCTAGGAATGACTAGGAAAGGTGGTGGATGTGAGAGAGAGAGTGGGGGGCAGTGTTTCACATGCAAAGGCATCTTCAAGATGCAGCCTATAAATCCTCCGTTAATTGACCAGTACATCTATCTTCACCTTTTAGAATGATACGGTTGGAACACTTTCCCTATGAAGGAAGGTTAAAGCACTTGGGGCTCTTTAGCTTGGAGAAACGACGGCTGAGGGGGTGACATGATTGAGGTTTACAAGATGATGCGTGGGATAGAGCAGGTCCAGAAAGAGGTACTTTTCTCCCTGTCTCACAGTACAAGAACTCGTGGGCACTCCATGAAATTACTGAGCGGTCGGCTTAGAACGAATAAAAGGAAGTCCTTCTTCACCCAAAGAGTGATTAACACTTGGAATTCACTGCCACAAGAGGTGGCGGCGGCTACAAGTATGGATGGCTTCAAGAGGGAATTGGATAAGCATATGGAGCAGAGGTCCATCAGTGGCTATTAGCCACAAGGTATAGATAGGGGCTCTGGGGCAAGGGATGCTCTGTCTTCTTGGTGCTTGGGGGGGAGGGGCAACAGTGAGAGGGCTTCTTGTGTCCCGGCCCCACTGCT